GTTGTGCAAAAGGCTCGGATACAGGCACCACATTAAAACAGTCGCCGCGAAAGCCGGAGCAACGGCAGCCGCGCTAGGAAGGATTCTGCCGAATATGGGAGGCACCAGCCAGAAGAAGAGGAGACTTCTAGCAACGGTGGTGATGAACCAGCTGTTGTACGCGTCGCCAATCTGGGCAGGCGCACTGAGCTTCACGACCAATGTCGAAACGATAGAGGGACCCCAAAGGAAAATAGCCCTAAGATGTGTGAGGGCATACCGCACGGTGTCGAAGGCAGCAGCGCTGGTCGTCAGCGGTATGGTACCAGCACATCTGTTGGCAATGGAGCAACAAAAACGCTACATAAACAGATGTGAAGGCATTGAATTCAACGAGGCGGAAGAGCGGAACGCTACCATCCGTAAATTACAAGAGGAGTGGAAGAACTCAGACAAGGGAAAATGGACAGTACGGCTAATACCAGACATTAAACACTGGCTGCTGAGGAAATATGGAAACTGCGACTTCCATTTAACACAGATGCTAACCGGTCATGGTTGCTTTGGCCAATATTTGACAAAATATAAGAAAAGACAGAGCCCGGAATGTGTTGACTGCGGTTCAGCGGAAGACAACGCGGAGCATACGTTGTTCGCCTGCGACAGATGGTGGCGATCAAGAAAGGAACTGGAAGTGATTCTGGAGGCGGATATGGTGCCAGATACAATCGTGGGGAAAATGCTAGAATGCCATGAAAAATGGGAAGCGGTGAAGAGATATGTGGAGAAAGTGCTGTCCAGGAAAGAAGAAGAAGAGAGAACAGTTCAGAGAGCTGGGGCACGGCGTGATTAATTAGCTAAGCTCTTATATAATGTGCGCCGAAGGCGAAAGTTGGAAGGATAGAGCCTTCCATTGTGTTGTAAAGGCCAAGGCCTTAGTTTTAAGTTAATTTTTTGAACAATTGTATTATGATCTATTGATGTATCAATAAATGATACGGATACAGGGGGGAGGGCGACCCACCCGGGTGAAGTGCCCCCCTGTAGCGCCGTGATACCACACAAAAAAAAAAAAGGTGCTCCGCTTAATCCAAAGGGCATTCGGATGAACTCGAAGTGGCCCTTGTCTGTGGAAAATCCGGTCTTCTCACGATCCTGAGGACGAATCGGGACTTGATGGTACCCGCTGGTGAGGTCCAACGTAGTGTAATATCTGGAGCGTCCTAGCTGATCTAAGATCTCGTCAATTCGAGGAATTGGAAACGCATCTCTGATGGTTAGCTGTTTGAGCCGACGAAAGTCTACGCAAACTCTGAATTGTGGATTTCCACTAGCATCGGGTTTCTTTGGGACTACCACTAAAGGTGCGTTCCATGGAGATTCTGAAGGCTGGATGATTCCGTCTTATTTAAATTTTTCCATCTGCTCTACTTTAACTTTTCTATGGGCGTATGGAAGTCTATACGGTCTGATATTCACTGAAGCTGCTCCCGCTTGCGTCTTGATGTCATGTTGAATTGCTGTAGTGAATGGGAGAGCATCTCCTTCGAGGTGGAATAAGTCCTGATATTTCTTGCATACTCCTCATAGACTGGCCCGCTCCTCATGGTTAAGATGATCTGTTTGGATAACCTGTGCGAGCTTCTTCATCCGATTTTCCTTATTTGACTGATCCGCTGATTCAGAACAGAGGTGTACTCTTGCCCCTTCAAAGAGGTCATATTGTACTTTTGCTAGCTAAGGTGGGAGGAATTCGATGGATTTCCCTGAGGGATTCACCACGGGAACCAATATCTGGCCATCGCGAACGGAGTTAACGACATTCCCTAATAATAATACTCTCTCCTCCCCGATGGTCTGTGCATGAAATATTAGAGTTATGTCATCTCCCTTGTCTGTCATGATGGGCACCAGCGTTTCCGATCGTGGTTGGATGACTAGGGTTTTCGGCAAATCTGGAGGTTCTGGAGACTCTGGATTTTCTGTATGTTCTGTTGACAAAGTAGAGGTTCTGAAGTTGATTTTAATACCATTTTCTCTGAAGAACGGTGCGCCCAAGATTCCTGCTTCCACTATCGGAAAATTGTCATGGACCACCTGAAACTTCACAGTTGCTTCCTTCGTACCAAGTTGGTCTAAGTCTGAATCAGTCGATTGGACCCTTAAAGCGACTGATCCTATGGTGTACACTGGTTGAGAATTAATACCCTTTAGCTCATATATTATGTTCTCATCCACCAATAAATCCTTCCTTAGTTCTGGTAGTTTGATAATATTTACATCACTCCCGGTATCGGCTATCAATCTTACATTTTCTTGAATACACTGTATAATTTTGAGACACGTGGAATTATTTACAAGTCTTTCTGAGAAGTGGAAGGTCGCTGCAGACTCAATACAGCGCTCTGGATTTGCTGAAGCGATCGTGTGCTGCTCGGATTCGGTTCCCCTCCGTTTCCCGCATTTTGTTGTTCTGTTGAAGCTTCTTTTCCACCCTGTTGCCTTTTACTATTTACATATTGTCTTTTTCGGCATAATTCTAATTCATGTCCTTCCTTTTTACAATATCTGCAAACTAATACTGATTTTGTGGCAGTTTTCGAGTTATTTTGCTACCCTTTCTGCTGACTGGATTTGAATCTCTCCTGATCCCATGACGACGCTCTGCATTCCCTGGCAAAATGGTTAGTTCGCCCACACTTAAAACATCCCTTACTAATGTTGCTGCTTTTGCTACTATCCTTCTGCTTGAACACGGTATGATTTGCTTTTGAGGGCTGAGACTGTTGATCCTTCGAGTTTTTTTATTACTGAATAGTTGCTGAGTTTCTTTGGCAAGATTTTCTTCCGTTTCCTCCTCTAGTGCATATGCCAAAGCTTCCCTGAGGTTCTTGGGACCTCTAGCTTTAAGGAGAATTCGATACGATTCTGGCATCCCACTTATAAACGCGTTGAGTATCTGATTGCGCAATAGCTTATCAATATCCTCCCCATTTATGTAGTCTCCACTTTCCATGGCTGCATCGAATAAATCATGCATGAGTTGCTCCATCTTATCGTGATAATCTTGTACCCCTTCACCTGAACTCATTTTGCATGTGAGCATCTTCATCTGTAATTGGGGTAGCAATTTCTTCTTGTCTGACATTTCGACGATCGCTTTCCGGAAATCCCGATAGGTCTCGATTTCTTTATACCTGATTGCCTGTAACGCTCTCCCGGACAATTTAACAGTCATCCCTTGCACCAATAAGCTGATTTGGCCTGGGTCAATGATTCTGACTGCAAAATCACATGCCCTAAGAAATCGATGTACCTCTTCTGAACTTGTCCCATCGAAAACTGGTAGTAACCTGAGTGCTTGTTCTACGCTCGTAGATGATCTATTGACATTTGGTCCGGAGCCCACTTGGCTTGAATCATCTGTTGATACTGATGCTTGAGTACCGTCCATTTTCCCGTAAACTTGTGTTATTGTTGAGTCCTGTAAATTTAGTCTCGAGCCCAGAGGACTTGAGCTGACTTGCTGCCTTAGATTTTCAGAATCTCTAGAACTATTCGGATTTCTTGAAATGCCACGATGCTCTGGAAGTTCTGAGTATTGTTGATTTTCTGAAAGTTCTGAAAGTTGTTGATTTTCTGAATTCTCTGTGTTTTGTTGATGCTCTGGAGGTTCTGAGTATTGTTGATTTTCTGAAAGTTCTGAAAGTTGTTGATTTTCTGGATTCTCTGTGTTTTGTTGATGCTCTGGAGGTTCTGAATTTTGTTGATTTTCTGTATGCTCTGAATGTTGGATTGGTTGAGGTTCTGTGTGTGGCTTGGTCCTTCGACTTCTTAGTAAATACCTAGTTGACCCTAACAGTTCGTCCGTTCGGTCTATATTGTATCCCCTGCCCTTCGTAGGACACCACTAATTGGTTCATACAATTCTCACTAGACGACCCACTACTAAAGCTGTCCAAATCTATTAAGGGGGTTGGAAGCGGCGATTTTCTGTCTTTGTCTAACACACGTGTAACATAGGATTATAGACGTGCTTTATTTCCAACGTACCGATTAATCTAGTGAAGCGATAAGAATTCTGAAAACAGATTTGAATTTGTCGTCAAGTCTACTTGAGATCGACTTTCCCACATTTTTGATATTATCCCCCAAAAATCTTAAAAATGATATATTAAAAAGAGTAATTAAAAAATTGCCATATTTAAATTTTCGGAGAAGTTTTAATCAAAATATCAAAAATGTGGGAAAGTCGATCTCAAGTAGACTTGACGACAAATTCAAATCTGTTTTCAGAATTATTATCGCTTCACTAGATTAATCGGTACGTTGGAAATAGAACACGTCTATAATCCTATGTTGCACGTGTGTTAGACAAAGACAGAAAATCGCCGCTTCCAATCCCCTTAAATCTTCATCAATGCCATCATTTGACCTTGAGTTCGACATGCACTAGCAAAAAGGCCCGATTATTAGATAGATAAATTAAATAAACTGAAGCTAATTATTATTTTTTTTTTTTAAAGAAAATCCCAACAATAGAATATTCCAATACATTAATAAATCCCACTAAATTAGGATTAACTCCCTTTTTGAAAAATTAGCAAGACAATCCTAGCAATACTAGATAACTTGAAAAAGAATAGTAATAATAATTATTATACTAAAGAAATAAGTACCAGATAATTTAATTGCCCCAAGTAATTATAAATAAAAACTTACGAAACGATGTATAGTAAATACTGTTGCATTATGATGGTGTTGATACTCGATTGTTATTGTTTACCGCGTGATAATAATTGAATGTTATAATAATTTGTCGCCGCGACATGTCGTCAATATCTGTTAATAGGAAAATAGTATCAACTGTTTTGCAAGACGCGACAGGTCGCGGCGACTGAACTTTGGGTCTCCGCGACCGACGACACTACTGCTCATAGAGCAGTACCGCGCGACATGTCGTGACGACCCTATGGTCTTATTTGTCGGATTTGTCGAATTTGTCTATACAAATTTATCATATGGCGTCAAAATTAGTTTTTTCTCCATCGGAGGATGAAATTCTTATTCAAGAAGTACAGGCCAATTCTATTTTGTATGATTTGGCCGATGCTAATTACAAAAACATTATAATGAAGGATAGTATCTGGACGGAAATATCCCTCAAGATTGGAAAATCTGGTAAATAAAAAATTTCAGTCTTTTCGATTATTAAAAAAATTAACAATTTTTATGTAATTACTTGAACGCAATTTGATAATTTAGTAGACGATACAAAAAAGCGCTGGAAGAATATTCGTGATTCATATTCCAGAAACAAGAGAAAGCCGGGAACAGGATCAGCAGCGACTAAAAAAAAATGGAACTTGGCACCTCACCTTGGTTTTCTGGATCGAGTTGAATATGAGCGAGCGTAAGTAATAATGGATATTTAATCCGTTTTACCCCGATTTATGCACATTATTAAATATTATTAATTCATAAAAGTTCAAGATTCGGGGTGCCGCCACTGGGTGACTTCCCCCTCCCGCTAATCATCCCCATCCCATTTACTTATACATGTAATTATAGATTGTAAATAACATTTTTTTTTTGTTCAATAAAAAAAAAAAAAGTTCAAGAGAGTAACAAGAATAACATGACATGTTAGTATACTAGTATGGTACCAGTATTGGTCTTTAAAAAGCATTTATTTCCTAATCAATCGTTGACGATATTATGACTTATAAAAATAAATTATCACCGATTCTTAGTAGCAACAGAATTTAAATGTAAAACAATATACATATTTTATTCCAGACAGGGATTGAATTTATTTTAGATTCTAATTTTTTTTTTTTTATTTATTCTCTGAAATTGTTTCAGCACACCAGGTGCTATTACAAATATATTAATTATAATAATGATACGGTTAAAAGAAATATAATAGTATTAATTAAATATAAATTCTAATTAATTCATTTGAACAGCTATTACTAAGTAAAACTTTCCCTATTTCAGGTAAATTATATGGTTTATTTTGAAGAACATTTCCATTTTTCAGAAATACTTTTGATTTTTCACAACCTTTTTGATTCAAATTTAATTTATCAAATCTGAGTTGTGAAACCAGATATGATTTTACAGACCGACAGTGAGATAATGAAGAAGATTTGAAATTATGAAATATTTACGGAAAAAAATATTTAAATTATTTTACCCATTATAATAATATCTAATTCATTATATAATCATTATATTATACTCCTATATAGACGACAAATATTATGGAAAAGTGGGTTGCTTATGACGTATGAGATTTTATTACGCAATAGGTCACATCAAAAAGCACTAAATAGATATATGCTATGCTGGACTGTCTATTACTGGCACGCCTCATCATTTTTACCGGTAAAATCTTAATAAATTAATAAAAATATAGTATTATACATAATGTATATTTCGCTTTTATCGTTAATATGAAATGTAATAAAATGTGTATCAACATTTTCAAGTATTGATTATTATAGATTCGTAACTTGTAACTCGTAAGATAGTTTAATTTTGGTAATACTTGAAGGAAAGAGTCCTCCACGGCTCTGTGAAGCATTTACAATCATTGTACACCTTGGTATCATACTATCATTGACATAAATGCATAATTTGGGGGGAGGGGGCTTAGCCACTGGTCAAGACAATGTCCCCGTAAAATTAAAAAAAATGAAATTGTCTTTACAGGTGGGGTTAGTTACAATTTATCCCCCTTAAATTTTAATTTTGGCTCTCCAAATTGAGCCTATTGGTGTCATGATTTTACTACATAACCTAAACGTTTACATTTTCTTATGGATTTTATTGGTGTATACAAATATTAAATAATATATACCATGTTGTACACTGAAATATGCGATCATCATTGATTATAAAATATATTAACTATACAACAAAATAAATGTATACCTAATTGATAACTTATTTATAAACAATAATAATAAGTAAAACAAAAAATAAAAAAATTTAATTTGACTGTTCAGAAAATAAATATGTTTTGACGTATTATAGTTGAATTTATAAATAAGTTAGCTCTTAGCTATCAATATCTATATCTTCGTTACGACGGACATACAATAAAGCAATATCGTTAAGACGGTTTTGTTTCATTGTAGACCTTAAAAATATTTTCAATCTTCGAAGTGCTGAAAAAGATCATTCCGAAGTACAAGACGATACCGGAACAGTTAAAATAATAATAATTTTGTAATTTGTCTCATCAGGTGACATCAGCCATAGATTGTTGATGGATACCTCAGTTGTAATTGAAAATCTACCACGATGTAGGTTAGTGGTTACCAGGGCCGGATCTAGGGGGGGGGAAGTCGGGGATTTATCCCCGGGCGTATAATTTTCGTGGGCGTATTTTTAAGGTTTTAAATATTTTGTAAATTGAAAATTGAAAATGGACTTTAAAACAAAAGTCAAAACTAAGTACAAAATAATATTTCACAGGAAATGTGTAATATTGGGTATGAGAATAAAATAAAATAATTTTATTTTTAATCGAGATTAGTAATAACTAATAACATTGATTTAAATATTTAAAAGGACAAATATGAAAAAGGTAAAAAAATAGATAAAAATATAAAATAAATAAAACCCGTCCGCAACTTACTGTCAGCGGGAGTGTACATGCCTTATGCCGGGTTGCATAAAACTTTACGGAACCGATAGTTGGCTATCGGTTCCGTAAAATTGAAAACAGTTACGTAAATATGATAGCTGTTATCAAAAACATAGTTATTGAATCGATAAGATTAGAGATCCGATTTCGGTTCTGTATAATTTGCAGAACTCTTTACCTTATCATTTAGGTAATTATATTTTTTTTATCACGAAAAAAACGTGAAATTTTCGTGATAAGTTGAGTATTGTGATTACTGATTTGTACTGTTATATCTAATTTGTTTTATTTAATATTCAGTATTCTGTGCTTGGTACATTATTATTTACTGAATATTACTGTAATAAATTAATCTTTTATTTTTGTTAATAAAATGTCATTAACATCAGCCTCATCTTCATCAGATGAGTCTGATGATAATAATAATATGTTGTTTGACAATTTGACATATTGATTAATCTTCCAACGCCGAGGCGTTCACATTTAGTCTATCATAAATAGATTAATGTAAACTCTTCGATTAGTGAAATAATAAAGTATGGTAAATTACATAATTTTCTTGCATATAATATAATATTATGTAGATAGTTGTTTAAAACCTTAATCTTAAAAATCGCACTATTAATTGTAATTCATTGTTATGTGATTTTAAATTAACAACTATATATTTTTCCAAATAGGTAGGTACTGCATAAAATTATGTACTACATAAAATGTTACTTAGGTACTAATGAGTTAATTGTTTTCTGATTATTTATTAAATTACATGTTCGTACCTAGGCTTATAAAAGTCTTTGTATTTAATAATTAATGCCTTTTTATAAGCTGAACTTTTTTATAAATATCACCATGGCCACTAGATAAATGTAACAGAACACAAATACAACCATTATGATCTGTATGTAATAACTAGTAGCCGGAATTATATTCTTTTGCATATTTTTTTGAGTCTATGCAGTCAGACGGGGGTTCGAAATCTTTACAAATCATGAAACAGGTGAGTTAATGGCAAAAGTTTATTTTGCATATTTGGGAATATTTCAAGATAAAAGAATATTTTGTATAATAAAAAATATTAGAGAATATATCGATTAATTTTTGTAGATGTTCGATATTTTTTGTTGCAGTGGCCTAAATAATATAAATAGCACATATAAAAACATTTTAACCGACCGTTGTACAAATATGACATCAGGGAACATGGAACAAAATATAGTTGTCAACTGTTTTCAAAAATTTTCTTAGTTAAAAATTTAAAATAATTAAATATTAAATCAAACTTTTCTTAACAAGTAGTATTTTTTATTATGTAGGTACCTATTTATATCAGGTTTTTATATTATTTTGCATATTATGTACCTATTTATTTATATGAGTTCGTATTATTTGCTTAATTATTTTGCATATAATATATAAATGCATATTTTTAGTTCAAGAGAATATTTTAATAAAAAAGCATTTTTTTTTGCATATTTTATTATTATTTTTAAAGAATATTGGAAGAATATTTTCAACTTTTTAAGAGAATATTAGCATCTTATTTTGGCTATTTTAAAAGAATATAATTCCGGCCCCTTGTAATAACTAATATTGTATATACAGTGTGATCACGATTTTAGGTACCACTGAATATCACAGATGGATGACTTTGTATTGAAATGGGGTTTTCGGGAGGTGATAGGGAGCACTTAAATACATATTTTCAGACCAGTTTAAAATTTTTAGCTCACTCGGTATGCGCATGCGCAATTTGACTTACTTTTTGTTAAATGGCAACCCCACTTTTTTTCTACAGATTCGGGTAGAGTATTTTTTTTTAAACATTTTTTGTATTGAAAGTTTTTCTATTTATAAAACTGACCAAGTTAGAGAAAGTCAAATTTTGGATTTATTCATAATACGTGTTTAATGCAATTTGCATTTATAACCAGTTGAAATAATAAAATAAGGGCCAAATAAATGTTTGATTAGGGGGGGGGGGGTGGCTGAGTGGACTAAGGCGTCGGTTGTGGCCGATTTCCGTCCGCCATTAAACATTTATTTGGCTCTTATTTTATTATTTTAACTGGTTATAAATGAAAATATCATTAAACACGAATTATGCATAAATGTTCAATAAATGTTCAAAAATAAATACTCTACCTGAATCTGCAGAAAAAACTGGGGTTGCCATTTAAAAAAAAGTAATATTGCGCATGTGGCATGCGCGTACCGAGTGAGCTAAAAATTTGAAACTGGTCTGAAAATATGTATTTAAGTGCTCCCTATCACCTCCCGAAAACCCCATTTCAATACAAAGTCATCCATCTGTGATATTCAGTGGTACCTAAAATCGTGATCACACTGTATATTATGATAATATTGATGGATGATTATATATTTGTATAATATTACGGAGATTCGGGTGATTTTTGTATTATCTATGAAAAATACATTAATAAAATTAGTACATAAATGTGTTTGATGATTAAAAAAAAAAAAAAATGGTCAAGGGGGGGGATACGACACCCAAATCCCCCCCCCCGTAATTACGCCACTGGAGGTAGGTAAATATTAATACTGCGCCTAGTTAAAAGTCGTAAGTTATAGTACTTACGCGACACGTCAGGTGTTATTTTTATATAAATATAATATAATATAATGTATATAAAAATAATATAATATAATGTATATAAAAATAATATAATATAATGTATATAAAAATAATATATTACGCCGACTCTATGTGCAGGGGAGTCTGCAAATAACACCTGACGTGTC